GCGTCCACGGGGTCCGCGGACTGGCCGCGTCCGCGGATCCGGCCGCTGATGGCCGCCGCCGAGGGTGTTTCATAGGCGACACAACGCTTCTTGCTCGCACGCGTCGTGACCCGGCAGGGTCTGGGCTCTGAATCCGTTCGCGCCTTAATCCAGTGTGTAAGTGTCGTTTTTGGCAGGCGCGATCGCAACTGTAATCTTCTTGTTCTTGGTGGCTTTTTGTATTTCCTTCTTTCCCGCCTCGTCTTCGCATGCACACTGTGCCCGTGCCGCGGCCTGGGCATGCAGACGTAGGCACTCCCTCCCCTCTCTTTCTCATCAGTTGGTGCTAATCCCGTATCCCTCGCGCAAGCATACATGCTATAAATTTTGCAAGCGCGATTAGTTGTCTCTCTAACCTACTTGGGAGTTAGCACGGTCGAGAGGATCGGCTAACGAGCATAAAGACGGTGAGTAGAGAGTCGGGCGATCCGACGAGCTGGCGCTGAGTGCGCGGGGTTGACTCGTGGCCGCAACGGACTGTGGCACGTGGGCGAACCTGGCTTGCATGCTCAGGCCAAGCGGGGTGACGACTCGAGTTGATGTCGGAGGTGCAGGGCGACGGACTGTCCGCATCGAGAGAAAGAGAGAGAGAGAGAGAGAGAGAGAGAGAGAGAGAGAGAGAGAGAGAGAGAGAGAGAGAGAGAGAGAGAGAGAGAGATGGGGATATGGTGGAACCATGTCCATTCTCCCTACTGACTGTATAAATTTTGATTCCAACGTTGGTTAATTTTGTTGCAGCATTTTTGGAATTTCTTGGGTGAATCGTCTCGGAACTTTTGTTGTATGTATGTATGTATGTATGCATGAATGGTGATGAATGAGCTCATATCCTTTCTTTCGAGTTGTGTTTTTGATCAGTAGCGTTAGCTTAATCCAAATTTCGTCACTTTCTAGTACCCATCGCTAACGCATGTGTATATGTCTGCGAATCTTGCCCCACCCGGATCTGGCCGGACACACCCACTGCGCACGGCTCGCCCAATCTCCTACTTCTGGTTTATGAATGATTACGAGAATTGCCAGGTGTGTATGCTTTGTGAATGTCCAATAATCTTTTCCTTTGATGCATGATGGTATGGGAACGAGGTTGATTGTCTGAGGGAACCAGTTGCATGGTTGAGCCAATACGCTGACAGATCGCTCCTTGTTCATTCACGCGGTTCAGGATCTGATCAACTGGCCGGTGCGCACGCACGTGTAAGGGCAGCGGCCCGTCCGCGGACGTGCTATCTACACGCACGTCTGCAAAAAGCAGTTGCGATCTTGCCCCCCCCCCCTTAGAAAGATGTGTCTGCATGGATTCCGTTGAACGAGACATGGCGATAAAATCCCCTTTCTGGATCACCGATCGCGAGAGCCTTAGGGACCCAGAATACCGAGCATATTGGGAAAGGGAACAAATCCGACGACATCAGATTCGACAACATCGTCACCTACGGAACCCTGAGCACCTTGAGTACCCCTGCCGGACTGAAAACGAGCGGCTGTGCCAAGGCGATTTCTAGCTGGCAATCAACCGAGACCCGCGAATTCCCGATTATCCCGACAGCCGAAACCAGCAATATCCTCTAACCCCAGGGTTCGTTGCCATCACTACTGATTTTCCTCCCTACTATACCATCCTCCCTTACCATCGGCTACTCGTGATCCCCTGGGATTCCATAGCCCGATTCTGGCCCCACCCGCCGTGCTTGGAGTGTCGGCAGCCCGACGAGCATCGGCAGACGAGGGTCACGCAACGAACCCATCCCAGGACAGACCGATGAGAACCCGGCCCGTCTTCATTGGACTCAGAGACTCGCGACGGACAGCAGCGGTACGAGCATTCCCACAGAGACACCCGTAGCGCCCCACCCCGGCCCAGGCTGCACGATCGACCATCGCCCCGACTCTGAGCCAAAAGAGACACTTGCACTTCTACCCCTGAAACTTGACACATGAGATTCAAGTTCCGACCTGGAACTCTGCCCCCACTTTCCAAAAATCCTTGGCACACCCCTTTTCGCACTTCCAGGCCCACTAACACTCCGAAACAGGAAGTTGCGCAGGGCGTGAGGTTGGGCGTCACACTGGTCTGTCCCGCGGGGATCCGACCAGGGTCGGCAAGTATTCCCAACACGGGGAAAAAAAAGAAAAAAAAAGGATGTACCCAGTGGTGTCTGCTCTTATCAGCTTCACTAACAGTGGAGGGGTTTTGTTAAAAAAAA